AAAAAAGAAAAGCTACAGTCACGTAAAAAACCTCTATCTACACATATGTTTATAACAGCTATATCCATAATCCTCAAAAATCAGAAATAACCCAAATGTCCCTCAATGGACATGGAAGCTGAAGTATATCCATATAGTATACTGTTCAACAATAAACAACAATAAAAAATGAAGCAACTGGTGCTAAGTACAGTAACTCAGATGACTTCTGATCAAACACATTACACTGGGTAAAAGAAACCAAAAGGAAAATGTCACATATCATTTGGCTCCATGTACTACATTCTGAAAAAGACAAAAGCTTAGAAGGAGAGTAGAATAGGGGTCCCACAAAGCCAAGAGTAGATAAAGGGTTTGACTAAGAGGGTAGCACCAGGGACATTTTGGAAGGTGTCTTAGTTCATTTTCTCATTGTTGAGACCAAATACCTAACACCACCAATTAAGGAAAGAAAGGTTTATGTAGTAGTTTTTAGAGGTTTCAGTCCATAATCAGTGGGCTCCAAGGCAGGGTGTTTGGGCAGAGGGGCACCATGGAGGAGACAATTTATGGCAGGTAGAAGACAATAAAAGCAAGCAAGCAAGGGATGACCATAGCTGTTTCTATGCTTTACATCTTGTCCAGGATACTTAGGGTGGGTAGCATTTACACCTGAATGCTAGCATTGCACAATGAATCAATTCCAGGGTCACACACTGTAATTCCAGCCATCTCTGAAAAATCCCCACTTACAACTGCATGAGGCTTTGAAGGGGGAGGGGAGGTGGAGTCTAAACACAAGCCACAACAGAAGTGTAGGTGATAGAGTTGTTCTGTAGTTCGGTTGTAGACATGTACACATAGCATAATTCTATGCATTTATCAAAACTCACAGATCTATATATCAGAAGGAACAAATTTTACTATTTATAAATTAACACACGGAATTAAAACTTTTTTTCTCACGAGAGGTAATGTGCCCATGTGGTAACAAGGTTTGAGGGAGGCTCGTTTCATGCATATGGCTTGAATACCCAATCATCACACTTATGAACCGAAGGATCTTTTTTTATTTTTGCCTGTATTTAGAGAAGGGTCTACAGGGTGTTCAGGGTCTCACTAC